AGGGCAAACTAAAAACAATTTCAACTTTTGACTGAATAACCGTAAAGCTCATATTAAAAAATTTAAAGCAACACAAACGAATAACACTCAAATTAATATTGCTATAGATTGCAAAAACAATGTACACTTTATCCTTACAGACTTAATACTTTCCTTCAAAATCGCAAAGATAATTCTAGTAAATCAGTATTCAGCAAATTTAAACTTTACAGAAGCAAAACACAAAGAGGAAAAAGAGGAAGTAAAATCAACAATAAAAGATTTTTACCAGCTTTAGATACAATTAAATTTTAATGAAGGAATTTAAAAATTTATTTAATTCTGCAAATTTCCCCCAAGAAACTACTTATCTTGTTACACTCTTGTACTAATAAATTTCTTTTAATACTTGAAAATATTTTCTTTCACAATACAAAGATCTATAAATTATTAAAAACCTAGTTCTTGATTACTGTAAATACAGATTTTCTAATTATCACACTAAATGCAAAATTTAGATTGAAATCCATCCGCAGTTTGAGAAATTTCGCTTGTCCCGAATTTTCAACAAGTGTAAAGTTTTCTTTCCAGCTTTAGACACCAGACCAGTAGTTGCATTAAAATATCAAAAAATGTTAAACAGTTTCCTCACTAATCACCATGAAATAGAAGAGATGGCTGAATGACAATGCAAATTGAGTAAATTCAGTCCATATATAGACGACCATCACCAGCACATAATTACTGGAAACTTGGGTTTTATTTAAAACATGCAACTTAAAAAACTCATGAGTTAGGGAGTAAAATATAGACCAGTCAGATACATCAACAAATATTACTGTAACAAAAATTTAGAAAATAGCATCAATGAATTTATTGTTAAGGGCAGATATAAGTTTAATTTGCCTAATTGTACCTTTTTTAAATGGAAAGATGAAATCCTTAAACAAATTAAAACTGAGCTAAAACCAGTAAAATTTCAAAGTCAATTAAATTGGTCTCAACTTCTTAAGAATTTAAAGCAACTATTCACTATCACCAAAATTGATAAAGCAAATAACAGCATTATATGCAAACTTTTCTACACAACAATTATTAGTACAGAACTTTTTAATGTCAAGACTTACCAGCTACATTACAGAAACCAGTAAACACTACAGAAACCTCTATAGTTAACTAAATTAAAGCATTTCATAAGAAACTCAAAATCTCTATAAATATAAGGTACAACAGATTTACTACCCTGTATGCTCTTCCCAAATTCCATAAAACACAACTAAAATTCAAATTCATTGCAAATGGCAATAATAATTAGAAGAAGAATGTAGATTATTATTTTGCACTTAAAAAAAAAATGTAAATTAGTCTTCAATGCTTGTAACACAGAACATAAATATTGCTGGTTCATCAATAATAACACTTAATTCATACTGTTCCGTCAATTGGCATACTAAATATAATAATATATAAATATAAATACTATGACTTTGAAAACTTATATACCTCACTTCCATTAGAAGAAATCTATAATAGCTTCCTTGATCTGACTAAAATCTTTCCTGCTATGCTAACAGTTTTAGAATTTAATAGATAGAAAAACCTTTAAATGCATTATTTTTTAATCACTAGATTAAATTTCAAAATCAATGTTTTAAGCAATTCAGAGGTATACCAATAGGAGCTCACACAAGTACAACCATTTTCAATATCTTTTTATTCATTAAAGAATTCGCCTTTCAAAAACAATTACAGCAACACAATTTAATTTACTATGCATATACTTACAGATCTATAGATGATCTTATTACCTTTAATTACCTTAACAAGATTTTGAAATCACAAATTTATCCAGAGTGCCTTACTGTTAATAAAACTAATATTTCAAAAAATGTAGTCAAATATCTAGATTTTCAAATAATTAACTACAAAAAGATTCTACTGTTTGATCACCACAGAGTGGTAGGCTGGAAGTTATGGCCTTATTAATGTAAGATTTGTTTGCCTGTTTTTAACTCTAAACAATGATTTGTTAGCGACCCAAATGTGACATCATCAAATAATTTTTAAAAATTAAATATTTCTTTCATCTTCTTAGATAACACTTGTTTTCTTTTATGCATAAGTACATTAGCTACCTTCATGTGCAATTTGGTGTTAATCAAAGCTTTACTTTCCCCCCTCCCCTTTTTTTTTTTTTTTTACTTTTATCATTACATGCTTAAATTTTAGAAGGCAGTGTACAATTAATTAAAAATTAAACATACAGACTGATAATAAATAATATGGAGAAAATAGAGAAAAACATTACATAAAGTAAATGGGAGTTATGGTCAACTCAGACCAGAAGTTATGGCCAGTTAATAAACTAAATCGATGCCTCTTTGTACAAAGTAACTCCCACACTGCAGTTCTCTCCTGCAAGATTGCTCCGAAACTGCAGGTGTCCATTCCAAAACTGTTAATGGCTCAGGATTAGCTTGGGTGCAATTGAATATATATATATTTGCCAGTTATACATCATGCATTGCTTTTCCTCACTTTTATACACTTCTTACACTACCTTCGCGTACTTAACCTTATAAATGATTTTTAGAATAGCCCTTAATACACCAGCTTCCAAACGTTCAGCCCACAGTGCAAATTAGCCATTTTCAAAAACACAGTTAAATTTCAGTGGCTGAAAAGCACTAAGAATGCAGATAGCAGAATACAAATATCATATTTTATAGCCAGTCATGGTTGACTGTAAAAACATATGTTGATTAGGCAGTCAGTGAAGATGCCAGCATTCTGAAGGATTTGAGAAAGTTCATTTAAATGCTGATACAAAGTTGTTGGAACTTTTATTGGACTGTTTTTTATGATATTCATGTTCTTATGGCTGAAAGATGATGACTGGCAAATGATGAGTGCTTGCATGCTGTCAGATACATTAAAGCAGCACAGTCAATCATAGATATCCCTTATCATATATCAAATCAAAGTGAATACAGCGGCCGAGCGGTAAAGACGCTGAACACTGGTAGTTCGGTCTGAGGTTCAAATCCTGCGAACGGGCTGGCTGCATGGGCGTTTTCGTGGTTTTCCCCATGTGTAACGTGTATACGAGCCAGTTTCCCTTAGAAAGTCCTCCACAAAAGGCATCCCTCCCTTTAGGCAGATAGCCCTCGTGTGCTTTGCCATAATTAAATACACCACCACACCAAAGTGAATACACTTCTAAACATAGGTATATTGCAACATTAGTGAAACGGAGCTGAGAAAAAACATCCAAAAATATTACACCCATGGGCACAGCATCACTTAATATCTGCCACTTGCACACATGAAGCGACTCTGCACCCAAATACCAAGGGTTTATATTTCATTAACTGCCCAATCCAGAGGAGCAAGATTAAAAAGGTTTCAGCATCTCAATTGGACTGTTTCAAACTGGTACATTCAAAAGTCGTTAATCCGGACTCGTTGGGACTTCGGCGATTCCGGATTATCGATTTTTCCGGATTATAGATCATCAGTTTAAATCTCGTAAGATGGCATGCAGAAATTTTAAAATTTAAAATATGAAACCGTAATTTATGAAATAAAGAACAATTATGATACTAATTCAGAAGTCAAACAACAAAAATCAGCGTTGATTTTTGTTGTTTGACTTCTGAATTAGTATTTATTCGGCGTGTTATTGTGTCTTAATTAACAATTATGATCTAAAGGGTATCAAAATTTACAAAAAAAAAAGCTTAATATTTATTTGTTTACTTTATTAAACATTTCTTTCAATGTAAGTTGTTTAAGTTGCTTCGTTTTATGTGATAATGCTTTCTCTTTAATTCTATAAACAGACATAATTTCTTGTTGAGTTACAAAGTTCCGCTGTTCAAGTCCCGTTAATTGCTGTGCCGAGAATACCGACTAACTTGTCAATCGAAATTTTTTCGTTTTCACTAACCTCTCTGTCACATTCTTCATGTCTTTATCCATTTTTCCAGCAGTTCCACTTTTTGTTTGATGGACATCGAAACATACTTTCGTTTTGTACGATCCTTTGGGAGCTCCAGAATCGGAAATTCTATTTGACATAATCCAAAGTTCAAGTTTACTTTTATAAATATTGCTCTAAACAGTCTGCAAAAAATAATAAGTCTGGATCCAATTCGAAATTGATTAAGGAACAACGCAATCATCAACATTAACTGAAATAGATAATTAGATAATTTTAGCTTATACCGTCTGTTATACATAAAACGCGCACGCGAAAACGTATTCTGTGCTTGCGTACATGCTCATGCGCAGTCGTAAAAGGTCTTACGCGCACGCGTAAACGCCTATGCGCATGTGTCAACGCGGCGCATGCGCAGAAAGTTTTTAGCTTTGAGGTCCAGATTATGGGTGTCCGAATTAACGACTTTTGACTGTATAATGCTTTGTTCATTGATAAGTCCAGATATGCCCTGGAATTAGATGATATGTATATAAGAGCCCATAGGGAAAGATGCATATGAAATCAAACCCAGAAAACCATCAAACATCATACTTTCAAAAATGGCAGCATCATGGTGTGAGCTGGAATTCTGATGGGATATTGAACCTAGTTGCACATCTAGTTGAGTGATGGCTGTAAGATATTTCTGTAATTGCTGTGTGGTATTGGGATGAAGTCCTATATATCCCAGTGTGAGACTCTACATTACTGCAGTTGGTTCTGATTTCCTCCTTAGGGATGATAGCGGCCATCCCCATCAAGCCAATGCCTTAATGGAGGAATGGCCATTGCTAGCATCTGTGGTGGTTTATCACCTCAATGAAAGCATGAGCAACTGCTATGAAGTTTATGTTAAGGTCTGGGATGATCTCATGCCCAAACACATCTGCTGCCTTTACGTGCATTTTGGTATTAATCAAAGCTTTGCTTTTCCATTTTTATACGTTTTACTAACATATGCTTAATTTTTGGAAGGCTGCAGATGATTACTTAACAATTAAATGCCTACCCAGATAATAATGTGCAAAATATTGCTTACCAAAAGCATGTTACCATATATCTTTTCAAGATGAGGCTGGATGTCAAAATATTTGAAAAGCTCTATTTTAACTGTCTTGCTTTTAAATCTTGTGAATTCAACTTCACTTGAACATATCAATTCATTACACTCACAATTAAGGGTCAGTAGCAATTCTTTTGTTTTCTTATTTTCATGATCTGAAATGAATTATTTTAAACATTATATAATGCATAAATTTTAAATGCTTAAAACTGAATACTACTTGAGGCTCTTTTCACTTAATTATCTGGATCTTACACAAAAAATCCTTTACATTAATTTATATCATTGTAATATACACTCGTTTGCAAAAAAATTGAAGCACCATGAAAGAAGTGCTTGTTTCTGATGAAACTGAATATGTCTATAGCTCATACACAGATAATAAAATGATTAAAAAATCAAGATCATAATACCTGTTCTCGGCTCACAATCACCCATTGAGTGTTCAAATTAGTAGTTGGTCGAACGCCGCTGGCGGCAATGCATGCTTGAATCCATCGAGGCAAGGAGTGGTAGAGGTTCCTAAATGTCATCCTGCGACACATTCTGCCAGGCATTCATCAATTGTCACTCCAGATCTACAATATTTTGTGGTGCCTGAATCTAGTGGCCTACCACGCCCAGACATGTTCGATTGGTAAAAGGTATGGTGATCTTGCTGGTCAGGGAAGAGTATCAACTGCACGGAGACAGTCCACAGATATGCGAGCAGTATGTGGCCTGGCATTATCTTGTTGGAAAATGGCCCCAGAATGTCGTGCCATGAAGGATAATGCAACATGGTATCAACATATTGTTGAGCTATTAAAGATGTACGGAAAATGACTAAAGATGACCTGCTGTCATAAGAAATAGCGCCCACACTATCACATCATGGGTTATAGTTGTATGCCTTTGTAAAACAAAGGCTGATTGGGACTACTGGGCCCGTCCTCTCCAGGCACAAACATGGTGGTCAGTGAAGCAGGATTCATTGCTGACCGCTATACGATGCCAGTCTGATGGCAGCCATGATGAACGACTGCAACATCAGACGAGTCCGCCGATGTTGTGGGGTCAAAGGCAAGCGTCTTAAAGGCCTCTGTGAGTGTAACCCCGTTTCAGACAAGCATAGTGAGATGGTGAATGGTACCACGAGAGGTATAGACGTGGCTGTAGTGAGTCGAATAGTCGACAATTATACTGTTGGGGCGGTTCGGGCCTGTCGAATAATCATCCTATCTTGGCTCACATTTGTGCTCCTTGGCCTTCCAGAGTTTCGACAACAATTTACTTGTAGCAATGATTGCTGCTACATCTTTGCACAGAAGTGTCTGTACGCAATAGGCAGTGGCCCATCGCTCGGTATGACCACCCGGCTCCCGTAACCCTACAATGCAACCACGTTCGAAGTCGTTTAGTTGTAAGGTCTTCGATGTCATTGTAATAGCATCTTTAGTTCCTTCTTTACAGAATTTCAATGGCAGCAAAAAAAAAAAAAAAAAAAGATAAATTTTACACCTTTTTTACTGGTTTTATACTTTGCAAATTGTGCACTAGAAATGCACTCTATGATCACAATTCCTGTTTATTTGCCTTGAAACTTTGATCATTTGCATGTTCGATCAAGATGTTTTTGCATACCAAATTTCGTCATGATTGCAAAAGTCCTTCTTGGTACTTCGATTTTTTTGCAAAAGAGTGTATTTAGTATTTAAAAATGAATATATTTTATTTTCAGAATGAAAAGGACAAAATATTAACAAATATTGAAAATATAACAATTTTCTGAAAAAATGCTAATTACATCAAAAGTAATTTTACAACCTAAGGTGTGAACAAATTTCTACTAATTTCAGATATCTTTTTAACAAATTGGCAAAACAATATATATATATTTACAGACATTAAACCTGAAACAACAAGAATTGAATTTCTTAATCTAAGACACGTAGAAATAAGACTGCATAACACTAATTCCATTCATGACAACTGGCATACTAAACTATATGACCTTTGATTAAATTCAGAATCAGAGCTTTATCATAAAAGATATTTAATTGTGAACTACATTAGATCTGCTCATGATTTTCTGAAATACTTTCTTACATATATTTCAAGATTATCAAATGCATTAAAAATAAAAGCAAAATACACCCTAAACCAACAATCAATGAACTTGTAGATCAGTTACATGAGAAAATAAATCTTTCATTGGTGAATAAAAAATAAATGAAACGAATTGAAGAATCAAATCTTTTAACATGCATTTCGTAAAAACATACAACACATCAACTCATATTTCAAAAACAGAGAGAAAAGAAATATAAATTATGCTCTTTTGGGATGTTTCATTTACTTTTTTTCTTATTTTATTTATCACTTTTTATTAATTTCCGAAAGCTGAGATTGAAAAAGCAATTATGGTCTCAAAAAATTCTTCAAGCAAATTTTATCTCAAAAAGAACTTCAAAAATCATTTTCAGAAGATAAGATTGCAAGAGATGTTTTATGGGTATAAATGTATATTAATAGTTCAATTTTAAAATAAATGTCTGGAATTCTGATATATTTGTATCATCATATATCATGATAATACATAACATGTGACTGCACTGACCATTTTGAAGCATGTTAGGAAACATCCCAATTAAATTCTTGTCTGATGAATAAGCATGCATAACATATTTAGCAGCCTCGTGACCTTTCCTTATTTTATGTGTAATTTAATTCTGTAATTTAATGTGTATTAACAGCAAACTCTTGCCAAAAGCAGACTGATGAAATGCTAATTTGCTTATACACATTTTCTTAATTGACTCCATTTAATTTGTCCAACACAAGAATTTCAGTTACACATGGTATGCTGAAGGATGTTAGCTGTGTTGCAATAGTCCTCTTTAATGACTGGTTTTAAAATTCATTCATTAAAGAACTCAGACATTACTTAGAAAAGCAAAACCTGAGTTTTATGGTTCTCCTAATTCTCAATAATGCTCCAGGATACAACAATAAAAGCTGTAGGAAAGTATGACACACTAATGGCATTTTGGAAGCAATTCAACACAAGATCTGCATAGAAATAATTAAAACCACATAGAACAATGAATCCTCAACAATGAATGCTTGCTGGCATCAGCTCTGGCTAGAACTTGTTAACAATTTTAAAGAATTTCTATCAATTTAAAATGAAGCCAAAAAAATCATATAGATTATAAAAGCAAAAAGCAGTGAAGGGTTTTCAGATAAGGAATGACTCATGAAATGACAAATAAAAAATTAGATAATATTATATAACACCAATCAATGGCAAAAGCAATGATAGTGAAGAAAAGCCTTTAATGTATAAGAAGTTAAATGAATTGTTAAAAAAGGCACAAGCACTGTCTGATTTCATAATCAAGATTCCCCCGAATTAAAAAAGAAGAGGACATTTTACAAGAGCCATTAAAAAACTTTGCACCCCTTACAGTGAAACAATGAATGAGTTGCATTAAACATTGTTCCAAGCAAAAATCACATGCCATTAAAAAAAGCAATTTTATCATATACACTAAAAAGTTTGAAATTCAGACGTCCATTATCCAGAATGATCCAAAATCCGGACCTCAAAATCACCGTTTTTCTCATAGGCTTTACGCATGCGCATTTGAACCCCCCCCCCCCCCCCCCGTATATTAAAACATCTGGAGAGTCCCGATTCTTAATTTCACTTCGACACTAAATAAAACAAATTGTTAATGAAGAAACAATCATTTTAGCATATATTTGTATGATCTGTAATTTGGCTCCATTGCTGTGTATCTGCTTGGCGCACATCTCAAACTGAAACAGTCCACATAGATACATCGTTGATCTGAGACCAACCTGGCGAATCACTATTTATTATACTTTCCTTTCATCACCGTATGTTTATCAACACATGACAACTTGAGTAGTGACTCATGTAGTCATGCCTAAACAATTTTTTTTTTTTTTTTTTTTTTTTTTTTTTTTTTTTATGTTAGTAATTGAATAATGAAGGAGTATGGTAACCTTTAATGTTGACATTACGCTTGGCGAAGATTACAGATTTAAGTTGAATGTTGTTGACGAGGAAAAATTTAACAAAAATGTCTTTCCATATGCTAAAAATAGATTTTTTATGATACTCATAGACTCAAAGATTACATTTAAGGCTATTTGAATCAATAACTGATTTGTTATTCACATAAACCCAGAACCAACACCAAGGTTCGTATGGCCGCATTGGGGCGTGGAATTTAGGACACACAGAGACTGCATCAGGCGGTAAGATATCTAACAGCAAACCTCAATAAGGCTTAACTCATTAGCCGCTGGTGTTGCACTGACGCAACGGTCAAAATAAATGCATATATAAATATAACTCCTTGATATTTTATACCAGCAGATGATTTTGTGTAGGGAATATTATGAAGATTGTTTCTGTTAAAAAATATTTGCCTTCAGTAATCACTTTGTTTATAATAAATAATTAATCTCATACTTTAAACAAAATTTAAGCAAAATTTTCGACCGGGTATTTTTGCTGAAAATATTTAATGAAAGAATCGCCGTCTTTATGAGTGATCTATTTTTAGTCAAGGTCACTGTTTATCAGAACATTATATGAGTCAGATGTTTATATTTGTATTGGGAAGAAAGGGAAAACAGGTGCTGCGCTGACGCAGCGTCAGCAGGAAACAGGTAGTCAATCTCCTTTTTCACTCATTCCTTTCGATGTTCTGTTTCATGTTCTGGTTGTTTAAAAATGCCTAGAACGAGGTATCTTACATTAGAAGAAGCCCTTCAAAGATTTTTTGATGAAGAACAGATGATGATAATTTTAATAATGACCAAAATGAAATTGATATTGTTGTTGTTCCCCCACAAATTGCAGAAGCTAGTGGTGAAGGAGAAAGGAATGGCAATGTTTTAAATAATGATAACGATAATTTACCAAATGATACTGCTGGGGAAGTTGAAATTCACGTATGAAGTAAGTTTCAGCCTTCTAAAAGCAGTTATAGTCATACTAAAAAGTTTTAAAAGCAGAAGACTGAAATCTTGAAGTGGATAAAAAAGGAACTGTTAGTTATGCCTCAGGAACATGAAGAAAGCGATAGAAAAGAAATTATAAAAGACAAAATACAAGGTAAAACTAGTGCACAGATTTTCGATTTGCGTTTTGGTTTAGACATTTACTCTCTTCTCGTTGAGCAGACAAATATATACGCTCATCAAAAAAAAAAAAAAAACTCTGAAGTTAATATGAGAAGATTTATTGGAATATTATTGCTTACAGGATATCATTCTTTACCTCAAGAAAAAATGTATTGGTCTTTTGATAAGGACATTTCTGCTCCTATTGTACGAGAATCGATATCACGTTTGCAGTACAGGAATATGAAAGCAGAGACGTTGCATTTAGCTGACAATAGTCAAATTGACAATAAATTGACTGATAAAATGTATAAGGTGAGAGTGTATCTAAGACTTATTAAATATCACCACTTTTTACTACTGGAAACAAAAAGTCTCTTTTAGATTTCAGGACGCGAGAATGCATTATTCCTTTTGCAAAACTCCTATTCAGAGTGTAGAATTAGCCAGAACATACCTCAGCAACAGAAAGACCTAGTAAATTCAGTATTCAAAAACCATTGCATGGAGATGGTAGATATTTTATCGTAAAGTCTGTTGATAACAAAAGACTTTGTTGTAAAGAGTACCATAGCCAGACTGTTTATAGATGCAAAGTATGTAATGTAGCTTTACATCATGATTGTAATCAAGCTTTTCATGCTTGAATCTTTCAATTGAAATAATCTGTATGTGTAAAAGAAATGCAATGTATATTTTAATATTAAATTATATACAAGTAAAGAGATTTGTAGATTTATAAAATGTTATACAGCTAAAAAGTAATCATGCGCTCCACTCAAAAGAAACATCACACGAGTAAAATCCTACTCACTAAACGTCCGTAGTCTTATTCCACTGACGTTGCGCGAACGCAACACTCGCGTTTTCCACAGGTAAGAGGATTTATTAAAATTTTCAATGTAAATTTATGTTATAAATGCTTAATTTAATATTTGTTATTATTTTCATGAGAAAAGAAACATTCCTTGTAGTTTTGGCGGTTAATGGGTTAAGTATATGTGGGAATTTATTTATTCAGAACTCTGATAAGCCTTAAGCATGTGCAAGAAATATACATAAGTATAAAAAATAACTAAACTAATACAATTCAGGCTTAATTGTCTCAGTGCATGATAGAAGTAAGATAAAATTTAATGGAACAACTTGACTTTAGTCGCCAGGCTCATGATGCATTGCCAAATATGTGTAGTGAATGATAGCTAAATTTTGATGATGAAAATTATGATAGCCGCGAATTTTAAAGGTTTTCAGATATCACAAATCAAAAGGTGAAATTTTCCAATTAACAGATTTTGTAAAGAAATGTGGAGAAGCGGTAATAAATGAAGATGATATAAAAGAAGTTTTTCATTGTGATGACAATGCTTCTCAATCATGAATTAATTAATGAATGACGAAATCTGTAGTATGGTTCTAAATCCAGAAAATACTGCTGCCGATAGTGAAGAAAGTGACAGAGAAGTTGCTGAAAACAAAAAATTTCGATTGACAAGTTAGTCGGAATTCTCCACACAGCAATTACAGGACATCAACAGTGTAACTGAATAAGAGAATATGCCTGTCTACAGAATTAAAGAGATACCATTAGCACAAAAAACGAAGCAACTGAAACAACTTACAATGAAATAAATCTTTTAATAACAGAAACAAATAAATATTAAGCTTTTTTTTGTAAATTTTGATACCCTTTATTAATTTTATAATATTTAGGTTTTTATATATTATACATGCTTTCTTAATCTGAATCATACCTAACCTCTTTTTTTTTTTTTTTTTTTTTTCCCCACAGAAAGTGAAATTTGTGGAATATGATTTTTCCATAAGTGCAGTGTATTTATGACATAACTCCTACATTCAACAACATTTTACTGTAAATATTTTCAATAACTGCAAAGCAAATTTTAATAAAATAAATGGTGTTGTAATGTAAACTGTTTGAAATTTCTAAATAAGATGTATGCAGAAAAATTACTGAATTTAGATTACTCATTTATTTTATCAAAAAAATATGAAATGCATTAGCATTAGCATTTAATTCTTCCTTCATTTTTTAAAATTCATAATAACTATTATTCAACAAAAGTAACAAACTCTGCCAATCTTACAATCACGATTTCGTTAAAACTTGTGAAAATACTGAATGCAGCTGCAAATATTTGTTTAAACAAGTATACAAAAGTATTAATAGATATAAGTTTTCTACTTCAAATGATGTTCATTTAAAAAAATTGAAAGCATTAAGCACTTTTACTCAATTAATTGCAAACTGAAGTTTTACTACTTTTTTTTACACTGTTTTTAATGTTTACACTGTTTGTTGCATAACTTGTACTGTTTAAAAAATACTGTATTACGTTTCTCAGATATATTTTTATTTCCATTCTTTAATTTTATTTATGTTCTTAATGATAACAAAATTAATCAGAAACGAACAAAAGCAAAAGATTTTCATTAGATGTTGCTTTTTGAACAGCAGTTTTTATTAAATATGTAAGAAGTTAGTCCATATAGCTCACAATATATATTGTGAACTCTAATTTTAACTCCTTGTATTCCAAAAGTACACCACAAGTTTTAATAATACATTTACGCAAGACCAATTTTCGATGATTATAAGAATACACATTTATAGTTTAAATCAATATTTTTAAAATTAAGGCATGAATGTAACACAAATAAAAACTATGGGTGGATAAAAAAGATGTTAAATAATACAAATTAAAATTTACCTTTAATTAAATATTTATCAACTGCATCTGCTCTAATAAGAATCGTGTCCCAACTTTCTGAGGATTCATTCTTAAAGAGAAATCATAAGTAATATATTTTAAGTGAAAAAATAAATAATTTTTTTAAAAAGTTGCAAAATTACATATACAGGAAAAAATTCTATTATACATAATATGTGTTTACTATGACCAAAACCTAAATCAAGCTTAAAACAATTTCTGTAAAGAAGAAATACAATACAGAGAGGCATAGAAATATCTGCTTTTTATATTCAAAAAGTGTTCAGTAAATATAGTAGACATTTTTTAATGGAAAAATTTTGATACTTCAAAAAGATGCCAAAATATTGGATCTACATAATTTGAAGCAATGTGATTAAAATTACCCACCTTTCACAAATTATAAATAGTTCTAAAAATTTCAAATAATTAGTTCAGTATTATGCATTAAAAAATGAGTAAATCAAAATACCTTTATAAACTTACAAAAGTTATTATGAAACATTCACAAGGTCTTAACACTGCTGCCAAGTTTATACAGAAGCTAATTTACAGCAAAAATTTTCCCACCAGTGGTTGAGTGGTAAAGTCGCTGAACACTAGCAGTTTGGTTTGGAGCTTGAATTTCAGTGAACAAGCTGATTGCAAGGGTGTTTTTATGATTTCTCCCATGTGTAATGTGTATACGAGGAAGTTTCCCTTAGAAAGTCCTTCACAAAGGCATCCCTCCTCATACGCAGATAGCCCTCAAGTGCTTTGCCAAAATCAAATAAACCAAACTTTATAGAATAAATTTAATTCAACTTTAGAGAAATTCAAGTAAAGACAAGGTCTAAATGTTAAAATGAATATTGTTTTTGTTATGCCTTATAATCTGTAGGAGGAAGAATCAAAATTTCCATTCTGTTAAATTTTTTCACTGTGTAATGCAAGGATGTCAAACTCGCGGCCCACAACAAATATTTTTGCGGCCCGGCCAATATATCGGCAAATAATAATATATAATAATAAAATAACATATTGACGAAGAAAAAAATGAAATGTTTACTGCTAAGTAATTAACGATAATTTATTCAGTGTTGTTAGATTACTCACAGCGAGCTGACACACACACTACTTAAATTACAAATGCGCGTGAGTAGCTTGCGTTCAACTACCTTCGGCTTTTGGGGGACACGTGCACTCAGAACTTGTATGCATCCCCCGATAGCCGAATGTGGCCGAACTCATCGTCTCAGTTTTCCAATCATAGTTTTGTACGATATATTGGTGCATGCATGTGCATGCACTTTGCTTTATTATTAATTATTACTTAATTCATATTGTTACGGATTTCATAGTTATTTATTTAGTTTTTTTTATTTAGAATTGTAATTAGATTTGCTTCATGTTGCCTTAGCAACGCAGACGATTTTTGAAAAGACAGCTGCGTTGGAAGGTTAAAAATAGAACAGTGTGTGCATTTAATACCTAATAAATAAATATCTCGTAATTGCTGTTGCCATCCACAAAAATCCAGATATTTACAGATGTTTCCAGTATATTCGAGAAATTAATTATAAAGCTTATAAAAGCCAAGAACAAACAACTCGTCTCAGTAGTAGCTGTAGTTCTAGCGAACTGCTTGTTTACTTAAAGCTGTAATTGATTTGTAGCGATTTCGTTGTGAGATAGAATTAGTTTCTCTGTTTTGAATTGATTTTTGCTAAACGTTTGACATTTTGTGATATTGTTAGAATATTTTTGAAGAAATATTTCAGCATTTTGATTTATCTCTTGTGGAAGAATAAATTTTTGTTAACATTTTAACGTTAACCGTGTTTATTCCAGCCCTTTGTATTCAGTATGTCTATATCAAAACCAAGTTGTAGTAAAATTAAACGAAAAATCGCTGACGAACATAGAATATTCCAAGTAAAATGGGAATTAGAATATTTTTTGCTGTGAAATAAAAGATAAAATAATCTGCTTGATATGTAATAATACTATTAATGTACCAAAGTTATATAATATTAAACGTCATTACGAACAACACAAATCGAAATATAAACAATTACGAAGGATTACTGAGAGAAGAAAAGTTGAAAGAGCTCAAGTTAGGAGTGAAAAAGCAACAGTCCATGTTTAGTAAAGTATTGCAAGAAAGTGAAGCGGCGGTACATGCAAGCTACATCTTGTCCGAGTTGATAGCTAAACTTTCGAAGCCTTTTACTGACGGTGATTTCATCAAGGAATGCCTAATGAAAACTGGAGAAATTGTTTGTCCTGGAAATGTGAAGGCTTTTCAATCAATTTCATTGTCTCGAAATATAGTTGCGGAAAGAGTTACTGATTTAGCCGGGAATTTAAGTGATCAGATCAAAGCAAAATCATCTAGTTTCGAAAGTTTCTCCATTGCCTATGACGAGAGCACGGACATTAGTGGCAAAGCTCAATTAGCAGTGTTTCTTCGTTCTTGTGACAAGAATTTTAACATTTTTGAGGAATTACTGGAACTAATACCGATGCCTGGTACTACCACAGGAGAAGATACTATATTTACTTGTGTTTTTGGACTTCTGCAGAAATACAATCTACCTTTGGCAAAAATTAAATTCTGTAGCTACAGATGGCGCTCCATCAATGACTGGGAAAAACAAGGGCTTCGTAGCATTACTAAGAAAAACTTGGTGAAATTCACGGTTCAAACATTCATCACATGCATTGTATTATACATCAAGAAGTTCTATGCACGAAAGTAATAAATATGGAGAATGTTTTGTCATATATAAAAAAAGTTATAAATTTTATAAGATCTCGAGGTTTAAATCAGCGTCAATTCACTGCTTTCTTAAGTGAGTTAGATAGTGAATACTCGGGTTTGTCCTACTATAATGAGGTACGTTGGTTATCTTGCTCCAAGATTCTCAAACAATTCTGGGATTTGAAAGAAGAAATATGTCAGTTTTTAAAAACGAAAAATCAAGACGTAAGTTGTTTTACGATCCAATATGGATACAAGATTTATCTTTCTTGATTGATATAACCAAACACTTAACCGATTTAAATTTATCGTTACAAGGAAAAGATCATATCATTACGAACATGTTTGACATAATTAAAGCATTCAAATGTCAACTAGTTCTTTGGGAAAAACAACTTAAAAATGAAGATTTGACTCCCTTCCCGACGTGCAGCATGAACAAATCAAGTTTAGATGATACTTGTTTGTATCAAAAATACGCAGAAAAAATTGCAAATTTAACAACTGAATTTGAAACGAGGTTTAATGATTTCAGTTCCCTCGAAGACAAATTTTTTTTTATTTTCTTCGATTTTCTCAATAAGTATTGACTCAGTACCCAGCCATATGCAAATGGAGGTGATCGAGATTAAATGCAACTCAAATTTGAAAGCAAAATTCATTGAAGTGGGCGTGCCTGAATTTTACAAATATTTACCAGCCAGGTTTGAAAATACTCGAAAATTCGATAAAAAAATATGAAATTATTTCCATGTTTGGTAGCACTTATTGGTAGCACTTATCAGTGCGAGCAGTTATTTTCAGTCATGAAAGGTAATAAGTCTCCTATTAGAAACCGTATTAATGATGCTCACCTTGGGTCAGCGTGGAAAGTTATCACTGCAAACAAAATTTATCCCAAAATAGGAAAGATAATAGCAGAGAAGAGATGTCAAGTATCAGGACGTAAACATTAAATTTTTCTTGTTCTTTTCTATATAAATATATATGTAATAATAAAATCACAAGATAGACGGAACACTGTAGATGCGTGATTAGATCCATATTGAAGAATTTTGATCGCGTAGTATTTAAAGAACTTGGCAGTCGAGGCAGTTTTAATTCCATTTTTATTTCCAATTGATATTTGTGGCCACAATCACTTGGCCCTCTAGTCGTGCCTTTCTACAGAGGACCCACATTTTTGATATTGCTGAGATAGAAAGCAAGCCAGCGAAATTACATCTTAACAAAGTAGAGGTTAATAACTGTAATGTTTTCAGTTATTCCAACACATCGTGGGCGAATGGTGAGGCTATTCCATTACGTTCTGGCAGATGGTTAACGAAGCTGGGGTGATTGAAACACGGAGAAAAATGACGACTCAGGACTTTTCACTTTTAACAGCAAGCATATCTTTATTTTAATTTATAGCAGATGACTTTTTCCAGATGAAGTTAATCAAATAACTTATTCAATAATTTAACTATTAGATACGACTGACTTTAAACTTTAATACATCATAACGTTCTAACAAAGAAAGAGGAGCCTAGCGGAAGCGTTAGCAGGACGAAGGCGAGAAGGCATCTGTGTAGGAGAACTTATGACGCAGCATTTATATGAAAGGTTATGTAACAGAGTAGCTTCTAGAAAAATGTAGAAAAACCTATGACGCAGTATTTATGTGAAAGGTTATGTAACAGGCGCGAATGTTCTAGCAGGTACTGGGTTAGGGGACGACCCTGAATTGCAGAAAAGTAATTAAAGGTTGCTGGTTCGCAAAGAGCAAAGCCATCGTATTTTTTTTTATATTTTACAGCTTCTATATAAATATATATATATGTTTATTATTGTATTATTCGAAATAAATCTACATTTCTATGAATATTGATTTTTTTTTGTATCCCGCCTAAAGTTAAACCTTGTTTGTTTGGCCCAAGTGTACCTATGAGTTTGACATCCCTGGTGTAATGTATGTCCACCTATCTTCAGTTAGAGTTGAACAGGTTAAATTTAATTGCTACGCTCATTTGAAATATCACAAAGAAATTATCTCAGTTCTCCAGCATATTTTATAATAAATATATGTCCTCTAATTTTTTTAATATATATAATTTCTGATATTTTTAATATATAAAAAACATTGAAATATTAAAAAAATATGAATAATGAATAACTTCATCTATCCCAAAATCTTAATGTTAGATAAATTTACACTATTCTGAAAAATCATGTTATTATTAAAAAAATTGCACAAAAAAGTTTTTTTAAATTAAAAATTTAAAAAAAAAAATTAACATAGCACATAAACCCTTTCTGGATAAAATTTAAATTATACAGAAGAAAATTAGTTAATGTACTTAGTTATATTATGTTATATGTTTAATTAGTTAATGTACTTAGTTATTAATTATATGTATCAAATTAAAACAAAAACACAGATATAGCTTTGGGTATTATTTTTAAAAAATTAGTAAGATAATTTTTCCAAAATTTGGTAATCAGAACAAAAACATCTTTAAAATTTAAATGAATATAACTTCAGATAGGACATGATTTTGATTTAAAAGATACTGTTTAAAGTAATGCTAGATATAAATCTAACACATACACTAAATCCTTCTGTAATGAAGAAAAATTCAATTTTGTTTTGATGACAGTCTTAATCAGAAGAAGAGATAAGTAATTTCTAACTAGAAGACGGAATGTAAGAAACATATTTAATTAAATTATGCAGTTTTTAAATCTAGCTGCACAATATATACTCTGATCTTCATTTTAATTTAACTTAAATTTAAAATTAATTAATATATTAAATAAAAATTACAAGTAATTCATATAACAGTAATAAAATCTTCCAGAGCTGATTTCTTTTGTTACCCTAACTTTATGATGAGCAGTTTGTAATTTCATGCGTCACTTTTTCCTTTAAATAATCAAAGAAATGCCTAATATATTTATTGGTTAAACTTTTTTTTCATTAATTGATAACCTAAAAATTTAAATATTTATTCTTACTTGAACCTAGATACTGATTAAACTATACTTAACATTAAATTTTTAATAACTCTGCATTTGGGCAATGTAGCATTATTCTGTTGGTAAATGCTGTTACTTCACAACCTTTTTTTTAATCATCATCAATCTTTCATAAAAGATGCAGTAATGTAAAAACATAAAATTTTAAAATGGGGACCTGAATATGATCATAACTTTGTACATAGCTCGGACAGCAAACAGGTAACATTGTACCAGGCAAAGCATGTATGATGTTGAATTGTAAGGTTTGATGATGTTGATTTCATTCATATAATGGAATGTAGTAAATACATAAGAATTTATAAACCAGTGAAAAGTTCATTATATGCAATGCACAAAATATGAAAATTATTACTAGAATTTGCGCTAAAGAATCAATAGCGCCTATATATTTGACAAAAAAAAAAAATCTAAAGAAATCCCACTTACATCTAGATCAGCACAAAAAAAAGAAATACTTCTGCTGTCATAATTTATATCAATCCAGAAATCACAATCATGTGGTTTTCCAAGCTGTTAAAATTGAGAAATTTTATTAAAATAGCATTAAAAATAACTTCAGTTAAATTGAAAATTTGTTATTCAATATAACAGATTCAACATATGAAAAAGTTAATTGGTTTTGCTTAAATTCCTTCATATTTTGAAAAAAAAAAACAATTCACCACAATAAACCTCTTTGTATTTTGCTGAATGCTCAGAGGCGGATTAAGCAGTTGGTGGATCTAGTGGCTGCTAAGGGCCCCAAACTCCAAAAAAGCCCATGAATAAACAGCCTAGAAATACAAACTTTTTCTAAATTAAGACAGATAATCAATCCAAATTGCTTATTTAATTAAATTAGTTCTATAAAATAATACACTCATCAACCCATTTTACTTTATTTTAAATGTTGCTATCAAAAAAGATAGCAACATTTAAAATTGCGTCACATTTTCCTTTTTCTGTTCTTAGAAATTATCCACTTAAACTTTCCAAAAATGATCACTCATAGGCCTTAGCAGTTTTGTGCTTCCCTAGAAGTAATGGTCTAAGAGATGACAACCACTGATGTGCTTAATTTGTTTATTTTCCAAGAAATGCTGGTCAGTTTCAAATACTATTATATAAGTAGCTGCTGTGAAAGATTTATAAATGTTCTGCTTGACATCATTACTGAAGATATTTTATCGACAACTACTGATAAGCCATTAAGAAGCAAATGACCTTCCTCAATTTTTTAAACTAAATTTGGAGGCACTTTACACAGATATTATCAATGACTCTTACAAAGCATGCTGCTGCCGCAAGGCCATTAGCACTGTACTTCCTCTCTTCAGTAGTCGGATCCACTGTTTTTATGTAAGCTACGAATGCATCATATGCGGCTTTGTTATTGTTTATTTTGATGAAAAGCATTACTAGCACTCTACGTTTTTGAAACTGTTATGTATTTATAATAATGTTTGAAAATCTTTCATGAATGAAATAACATTTCAGTTTAATTACAATTTTAAAAATTATCTTATTGTGGAGATTAATTACAATATAAAAATTAGCATATTTTTCAAGAAAATAAATATTTCCCCAATTCTGGTATTTAAAAATTTCGTCAGTTTAGCTTCAATTAATAATGCTTCAAGATTCTTTCTAGTGTTAATTTCATAATTTTGGGTAAAATCCAACCTGGGAGGAAAAAAAAACTGCTCCCTAGTTATGTCATGTAAATTAATGATGCTTCAGAAGGATATATTATGCATCTTTGCCACTAATTACTCTTCCCAGTGTTTACTATTGCTTACATCAAAAGTAACACACAACTTTCAACAATGCAGCAGAACTGTTTAAGTGTGTTTAATATAGATTAAAAGAAGTGAGTTCACTGCAGAAAAGAAATTCTTCTGATACCAAAACGCAGTTGACGTTAATGCATCCACAAAAAATTCAACTACTATTTTATCCTTTTTTTGTGCCACATATATAAATACAATCAAATTGTATATGAAACTAAATATAATAGTTTTAATCTTACTAAATTATAACCACGGTATACAATTCTTTATTACTTGTTGTGCTTCAAAAAATCTGTCATACATTTTAGAAAGATCAGTATCCAACCCTTTCCTAATTTGTTAATTTGTGGCATCTGATAAGATCCTAATGAATCCCTTCTGCAGGTTGTTCCTCATACTTCTGAGAAGAAGAGAGTACTAATATATAGTTGGAATACAATATGTGTTACAAAGGATGTTTACACATTTTAGATGATTTCAGGGCTGTTTAATTAATGTTTAAAATATAAAGAATATTTTTTTAAATGTTTGATCTGACAGCCTTCTTTCTAAATTACAAGCCTGCATTGTGATTTCAATGATAGAACTTTTCGAAAAATTTCCAGGGGTACTGATTTATATTTCTCTTCCACTACTTTGTGAAGTCCATTAATCATGAGTTTACACTTAGCTCTTTTCAAGAGACCAAAGGCACAATAATCTACAGGTAAAATAGCAAGGGACTTAGAAGGAATACCTTGAAAAGGTATACAAACAATACTTATATCAGTCTTCATTTTTTTCAAAGAATGCAACAGTATTTTTCAAATGTCTGACTTATTGCTGTGCCTTGATGAAGTTTCACCCTTTGAAAGTCATTGCGATAAAGAAACGAACAAACAAAACGTTAAAAAATCTTGAACAAATGGGTATTATTTTTAATTTGCCGCTGTAAGAGAACTTGCAACAATTATAAACTTACTGAAACTTTCTTTGCAATGATGGAATGAGATTTGTAAATTTTTTTCTTCGTTTTCAATAATTTTGAAAACGAAGAAATTGCTGTAATCATTTAGGTAAACCGATGCTTTATCAAGGGTCACAATGTATTTTCATTTTATTTCCTAATAAATAGTTTTTCAAATAGGATTCTACAAATTGTTCTACACTGTGTCACCTGTCTTGGCAAAAGTTGAACATTATATTTTTTTCTAAGTTTTAATTCTTGGTTTATTATTTTATGTACTATTCCTACAGTTATATTTAAGGTGTTAGCATTTTTGCATCTGCAGATTTTCTCTTGCTGTCAATGATTTTACTTTAAAAATATTATAAATGGTACATACTTTTTGGAGTTTTTTTTTTTTTTTTTTTTTTTTTTTTTTTTTTTTTTTTTTTAAATCTTCTTTCCATGTGCAATGAGTCACAATTTTTCATTTCCTAATTAATAATGTTGCTTATTTTGCATTTAAAATTTTTCATACCATCCATTTTACAATGTTCTTAAATTATACAACAGGAATATTTCTCTTCAGAAAGCACAAAAACATATCCTTCAACTCTCAACTTGTTTACATGCGACATTTTGAAAGAATAATTTTAAAAGTAGCACATGATATTTCTCACTTCAATAACGAGCTGTTGCCAGAAATTACTATAGTAAAACATTTGCTTTCTTTTTTCATTCTTTATTAAAATTGTCCTAAAAACATGTAAACACCCCTATACATGACTTGCATAAAGTAAAAAAAACTGAATTGTAATCTTGTCTTATTGACCAGATATGAAAACAATTTGAAGTATTTTAATGTTGTAAAAGTGTTACATATGTTTTTTAACTTAGAATTAGTGGAAACTTACTCGGCAATCATTAGTTTAAGATGTCTTTACTTTTTAATTGCATTTTACAGTAACAGCTTAGTTTTATTACACAACAAGAGTGAATGTAATATTTCTAAAGAAAAAAAGAAACATTTGTATGATTTCCCTGTCAGTTTGTATTTTCATACAGTTAATTGTTGAGAACTCAAAATCTTAGCAAAGCCTACTTAGTTAATATATTATGCATATATGCTTTTATTATGACATATATAGATATAGATATAGATATCTATATATGTCATAATAAAAGCACAAGGAAAGACGGAACACTATAGATGCATGATTAGACCCATTTCGAAGAAGATTTTGATTGCGTAGTATGCTAGTAATGCTAACTTGGTAATATCTAAAGAACTTGGCAGTCGAGGCAGTTTTAATTCCATTTTTATTTTGCAACTTGATATTTGTGGTCACAATCACTTGGCACTCTAGTCGTGCTTTCCCACAGAAGATTTACATTTTTGATATTGAGATAGAAAGCAAGCCAGCGAAATTACATCTTAGCACAGTAGAGAGCAAAAGCTGAAGTGCGTAGTTATGAAAGATGGAAGCACGGTGAAGAGAAAAGTTTTGGTTTACAATTGGCAGTTTCAGTTCTTAATTATTACGTCATCAGAGTTGCGCGTGCCATAGAGTGATCTAGAAATGACGCACTGCAGAGAAGTTATTACGATTTTAGAATAGAGAGGAAGAATTAATGTTTATAGTTATATTATAATTCTGATTCATATAATTTTATCTTACATATTCCCCCCCCCTTCAAAAAGAAAAAGGTGTAGTGACAGAGAAGCCTTTTTAAAGAGAAAGAGTTAAAACACTAGCAATGCAAATGTAAAAAAAAAAAAAAAAAAAAAAAAAAAAAACCATAAATCATAAATCATAAAATTTTCATTCTATAAAAGTATAATTTATAAATACCAATTTTCTAAAATAAATTAAAAATCTTTAGAGTTCTATTGAATTTGTCAGCATTTCAGTTCAAAAGTCTTTTTGTTTAAGAGTTCACATAATCATAGTTCTTCAGGGAAGGTCCTTGTTATCACAGAATATCACAAAATAAACTTTTACATAATCATTACTTATAATTAAATGCACATAAATATTTATGATATTTATTTCCATACTGATAAATTATAATTTAACATCATAAATAATTTAAGATTTTCAGAATTTGTGGTTTCACTGTTATCATCTTTCATTTACAATTCCTGATTTTACCAAACTGGAAGCCTCGCAATACTTCTAAACAAACATATCCATCAATAGGGCTGTCCTCTTGAGCTAACCAGTGTGTTCTCTGCACTGGTGGCCCAGAGTGCCTAGGCAGTTACTTGAAAAGGCCTCAGTTCCTTGCATTAAGGTAACTGGCCTTTGAGAACTGCACTAATACATTCCATAATAATAAAAAATAATAATAATATAAAAAATTACACACACTCATAAAATGAGAGCCTCCAACATTATCTTGCATGAATAGGGTAAAAGGAACAACTGTACAGAGGTAATTACAGGCCTCTGTTGAAGGAACCAGTACACCCTCATCATACTATACTTAACACACAATAACCCATAAATTTTAACATGCAATTTACCATAATTTCATATTACTTTATCTGTACTAATTTCACTTATTTTTAACATCTACTTTATTTTTAGAATAATTATAAAGTTCGTATTCAAAATTCTCAACAAAATTTGAAAAACATAAAAAACTTATCTTAATATCCTTCCCTATGAGTAATTTAAATAGCTTAAAATTTGTTACTTTATTTGTTCACACATAATTATGAAAAATTAGAAAAATTAATGAACAAGAATTTCAGATTTTCTCAAAACAAATTGCAGAAATTTTAACCAAAGTTGAAATGAAAACTATAGAATCCGCAGCATATTAAATAATTTAGTTCCTGAGCTACATTCACACGAATGTAATAATTTTTTAGCTGTTGGAAAAAGCGGAAGTGCAAATAATTTTCTGTCACACATACTTGCAAACACTAACTCAGATCAACCTTGAACCCGCCGTAATGCTTAATTCCTAAATGGTAATTCACTGATGATTTCCTTTTCACTAGGCATTCGAACTTCTCAATTTATCGAGAGATTACTTTCAATCTGTAAGCACTACGCGTGATTATTTTTTTGAAACACTTGCAAAACAACACAGCAGAAGAATGATCTGTTATTTTTTAAACACTGAAAAAACAAATTTGATGATTCACTTCTTTCACATTATCTTGGATTTATCACAAAACGATGATTTGAAGAGCTGAACTAAATTTTTCCATTGAGGTTTCAGGCTGCAGGAAACTATCTTACCGGCTTATAATTGTCATAATAAAAACACAAGGAAAGATGGAACACTGTAGATGCGTGATTAGACCCATATGGAAGAAGATTTTGATTGCGTAGTATGCTAGTAATGCTAACTTGGTAATATCTAAAGAACAAGTCGAGGCAGTTTTAATTCCATTTTTATTTTGCAACTTGATATTTGTGGCCACAATCACTTGGCACTCTAGTCGTGCCTTCCCACAGAAGATTTACATTTTTGTTATTGAGATAGAAAGCTAGCCAGCGAAATTACATCTTAGCACAGTAGAGAGCAAAAGCTGAAGTGCGTAGTTATGAAAGATGGAAGCACGGTGAAGAGAAAAGTTTTGGTTTACAATGGCAGTTTCAGTTCTTAATTATTACATCATCAGAGTTGCGTGGGCCATAGAGTGATCTAGAAATGATGCAATGCAGAAAAGTTATTACGATTTT